TTGCTAAGTTTAGAAGTTAAAAAAGAGAAGAAAAATCCAACCTCTGTTCTTTAGAGTTTAATGACTGCTTTAAGAGTTTTACAGCACTATTCAAGCCTTTAAAGTGCAGTTAAATGCTGATTAAATCTTCAGGTCACAGTACCATGTGAGAAGACATACATTTAAAACTTGTTTGGCTGGCTTTTCCCTGTTTATTCTTGGAAAAGTGTGTGTGATTCAGTATTTTACAGGAGACACTACATGGTACTTTTAGAAAATATTTTCTATTTTCAGTCCTTTTCTTAAAAATAATTTCTAAATTATATATGCAAAACTAACTTCTATTTTCTAAAGCCTCTGAGATCGCTGAGTCTGAAGAAATTAAGTTACAAAGAATTTTGGAACAACATTCTCATAACAAATACTGAGTTAATACTGGGGGGTCTGGAATCTCATTTACTGTGACAAAGTTAACACTATTTCTCACTGCCAGGGGGGAGTCCGTGAGGCTGCAGGCAACTCCTCTGCAAGGCCACTACACACCAGCAGATGTAGCCTTTATTTGCTACAGAAAACCTTGCCATTACAGATTTTATGTGAATTATAAACATATCACACAACTACCTTTTTGTGTATGTGTGTACATAAATTTCAATAGGCCTTCTGGAATTTTACATACCTATTACCAGGATATAATATTTTTTATCTACTGAAATCTTTGTTTAAAACGCTGATTCATACCAATCAGAAATACACACATAAGCCTTATTCTCGCCAGTCCCCTGTTTCTATAGAAGTTCCCAGTGGAGGGTTCTGGATAAGTCCTACATTATTAATTCTTTTCTATTAGTCTGAATGTGTTTGTCAGACTCTGAGTGCTCTGGGGTGGAGCCCATGTCTTCTTACCCATTCCTGTATCTTTGCACACTAAGCACTTAGCAAAGTATTTGGCACTAGTAAGGGCTGAAACAATGTGCAATAAGAGATAGGCAGAATAAACCTATTAGCAAGGTATCTGTTTAAGTTTATTGTGAAAAATAATTATGTCAGTAGATAACTGCATAAGTAACAACTGCCACTACCTGAATATACTGAGCTAACTTGCTTTGAGCACCTCTCCTTTTAAAGCTCTGGAGTAATAGCGGGGAGAACTTTCCCCCTGGTTTTGTGGAGACCTAGAGCATAGTCACAGCTCTGCCTCCATCAGCTGTGTGTCTTTGGCCAGGAAACTTTCAACACATATAAAAATACAGGGTTTAGTTTTTAAAATGTCACTGGAACACACTTTTTTGGTAAAATTTTCACCTGCCACATATTCAGTGTCCAGTTAAAATAATAAGAGACAGAACTATTTTGATTTGTATAAAGCTTACCTGACAATAAAGATGTAGCTTTTGGAAACCGGGTGCATTATACCAATACAGTCCTCTGAATGTTGTAACTTGAATACCTCAATATTGCAGCACATATGAATCAAGCTAGCTACCTTTTCTGTTCAATTAGAATGGCCTATAGAAATGTATAATCCTAGGAAACTTTTAGTTATGAGTAGCCTAGTTTGGATTAAAACTCTGAGGATAATTGCTTTACCCATAGTCTTCAAAATCAACAAGGCATTTTTCGCTGATTTATGCAGCTTCTGATATTCGTGACTTTAGAAATCACAATTGACTATTTCTATTGATATTTCCTCTTCTTTCTGAATCCATAAAATGCCTTCAATAACCATTTAATTTTCTGAGCACCCTCTTCCACTAAGAGAAAGGGGTGAGATGATTTGTGAAAGACACAATTTACATTTTTTATGCTAAAATGCTGCTACCCAACTGTGATGCTAAAAATCCAGGTATGTAATGATTCTTAGAATTTTTACTCTTTAACAGCATGCTGCTGTACCTTGTTTAATGCATTTATTTAGAAGAAAATTTTAACCTAAGAGAACATGTTCAGGCACAAAAGTAAATATGCTTAAAATCTAATCTGCCAAGACCCATATTCTGACCTTCTAAAGACATTACTGAGAGGAATAAAATCCTATAATTAGTACCAAGGAACAGCAAAACCATACAGTAGTTAGCATCGGAAAAACAGGATATAAGTTTTACACTAAATATTCACTTTTAAAATATTTTAACAACACTTCAGTTACGCTTCAAATATGCCTACGGATGACATTAGCACGATAATTATTGTTTATTTTCAATCACATCTGATGTAAATTTGTTAGATTTGCCAAATCCTTTCTTGGAAAACTTGCGAAGTTTATGGAACACTGTTAAAAGATGACTAAATTTCTCATTAAAAGTATCTTCATCCAAAAAAAAGTATCTTTTGTGGGAAATTTAAATTTAAAACTTCTATTTTAAAATCCTAAACATTTTCCACATCGGAAGCTCTGTAAGCATACTTCTTCAGAGTTTCTGAAGCAATCAGTACAGGCAATGTTAAATTATCATGGCTCTTGAGAAAAACAGAGGAGCACTATACAGAAGACCCTCACATTTGTGGCTCTGCATATTCCCTGTGGGCTGTGCCAACCTACTCTCTCCCCTGTAATGACTCTTTGTTTTTACTAAGTCCCAAAGGGCTGGTGAGAGCTTGGCAAAGAAAAGGGGGGAGGGGTGGATGGAATGCAGCTGCAGGCTCTGAAACAATGCTGAGTCCATATATTTTGTTCCCAGTTAGAATAATAAAAAGAAGAGTGTGGTAAGGGTGGGTGGGGGGCGGGGGGAGGAGGTCAAGGAGACAAAACTCAGTGTAAGCAAGGTAAGGCAAGTATCCCATAGCTCTCAGTCAGCAGCCTCCTCCTCACTCACCCCTCCACCTTCTTTTCTACCAAATCAAATAACCATTAAAAAAAA